CTCTTTGGCAAAGATATACTTAACATATAAATTATACAAATTACTTGCTTTTATGCTGAATACACAAGGATTGCTTGCTATATGGCATGGAATTGGGAAATCCTGCCCGGAGGAAAATTACACACATGCACACAGAGAGAGGGGCTTGTTCTTGGAACGAACATGAATAATTCAAATATCGTGTTTGCTTAACTTTTAAGCGATATTAATGATAACCGTTTTCTGGAAATTTAAAATTGTAACGAAAATACGCTCACACACACACACACCCGGGCATATGAGGAAAATACCGTTATGGAAAACTGATTCTGATTCTTTAACCATTCATCGCAATGGGTGTATGTGTGTGTGTTTGTCTGTGTGTGATATATGTCATAGTCCTTGCCACAAAAACCTGCTGCATGTTTGTTAACAAAAAAACCGAAAACAAACAAGTTTGTTGCTGTTGCTGTTGTTTTCATTTACATTTCATGATGTCTTTGCCAGCAGGTTGAATTGTTTATACACAACTACATATATACGATCTATATGCATACATAGGAGAATAGTACTCTGCTGACACATATATTCGGAGCATTGTTACGTTAATAGAGTTTAAACGGAAAAAATACAGGATTTTAGCAAACTGTATAAAAGGGTGGGGTAAGATTATTGGATATTGATATTGGAAAGAAGAGCAGAGGTCTGGGAGGGAATTTTTTAATTTAAAAAAAAAATAATTCTAAAAAACTTCTTCAATAAACCTTCAAAAATGCATAAGAACTATGATAAAACTCTTTAAGTCCTTCATTCATCAAAATTTATAAAAAACAAGTAAAGAAAGTCCTAAAGTCGGGCGGGGCCGATTTTATTATACCCTACACCACTTTGCTAATTTAGTTGAGCTCCACTTAATAATTAAAAGTTTTTTTGGGAGAATTCAATCATACACGCCATGATTAAAATTATAATTTAAAAATCAAAGGACTAAATATGCCGAAGCATTTGTATCTTTTAAATTCTGACTTGTATTGCCCATTTGGTGCGAAATTAGTTTGAAATCGGATAAAAAATATATATGGGAACTATATCCAAATCTGAACCGATCTCGATAAAATTTGGCAAAGATATTTCTGAGCTGTATTTGATATATTTCCCTGAATATCGTTGTTACGGAGTGCATATTACGGCTGTAGGTAAAAAATACAACAAATCGGATGAACAATATATATGGGAGCTATAACTATATCTGAACCGATCTTCACCAAATTTGGCATACTTCCTTCTAGACTAAATTCGGTCGTATGTGCCAAATTCCATCGCATTTGAACAAATATTAGACGTTTGGTGCACAATAAATGGTACATCGGACGAAGTTATATATAGGGATCTATATCCAAATCTGAACCGATCTCGATAAAATTTAGCAAAGGTATTTCTGAGCTGCATTTGATATATTTCCCCAAATATTGTTGTTACAGAGTGCATATTAAGGCGGCGGTGGACAAAAATAACAAATCGGATGAAAAATATATATGGGAGCTATAGCTATATCTGAACCGATTTCGATCAAATTTGGCACACATATTTTCAGGCTTAATTTGGGTGAATATGCAAAATTCCATACAATTCGGGCTGATATTACACGTATGGTGCACAATAAAAGGCAAATCGGACGAAGATATATATGGGAGCTATATCTAAATTTTGACCGATTATCTCCAATTTCAATAGGGTTCGTCCTTGGGCCAAACAAAAGATCTTAGCAAAATTTCATCTGGATCGGGCAATAAATGCGACCTGTACTTTGTTTACAAAAATACATGGACAGACGGACGGACGGACGGACGGACGGACAGACAGACGGACGGACGGACAGACGGACGGACGGACATGCATAAATCGACTCAGAATGTGATTCTATGCAGATCATCAAAAGGAACTATGGGTCTATCTCGTTTCCTTCTGCCTGTTACAAACAAATGCACAAAGACATAATACCCTGACCACCTTGTGGTGTAGGGTATAAAGAAAACATATTTCACTACAAATTGTAACAATAGTGGACCTCAATATAATTCAATAAATAATTACGATTAGATGATCTTTTAGTCCATTAACAACATCTAACAGTTCCTCAAAAATTTTTGTTTGAAATTTGTGAAAAAAAATATCCTCTAAAATTTAATTTTTTACTTTGATAGTCCTTCTAAAAATAAACTCAAAAAGTCAATCTTGAGGAAATTTTCCTAATCATGATGATCCTTTGAAAAATATTATTAAAAAAAATTCAAAATATTTTTAAAATATCCTGGTTTTGTCCTGGAAATTTATTCTAAAGAAATTTGATTTTAAAACTTCAAGGAGTTGCACATAAAAATATTTTTGAAAACTACTCTTTAAAATACACATTTCGTCCTTAAGAAATCCATATTTAATGTTTGAAAATATTAAAAAAAAAAAAAAATATTTTACCCTGAAAAATTATTATTAAAGAATCCACGTTTAGTCCTTGGAACATATTTTAAAAAGGTCTTTCAAAAATATAAAAAAATCACTTTGGAAAAATTATCTTAAAAAATCCAAGCTGAGTCTATGAAAAATAATCATCAATATTACAAATTTGGATTTTGAAACATATTTTTAAAATTTATGTTTGATCCTTAGAAATTGGTATACAAAAATCCTTGAAAGCCCGTTTCTTAAATATTTCACTTTTGCCACTTTAAAATATTCTTAAAGATCCACGCGTGATTCTTGGAAAGTATCCTTGAAATGTCCTCTAAAATTTAATTTTTTACTTTTATAGTCCTTTAAAAAGAGGAATCAAAAAGTCAATCTTGAGGAAATTTTCCTAATGATGATGACCCCTTGAAAAATATTATTAAAAAAAATTCAAAATATTTTTAAAATATCCTGGTTTTGTCCTGGAAATTTATTCTAAAGAAATTTGATTTTAAAACTTCAAGCACTTAAAAATACACATTTCGTCCTTAAGAAATCCATATTTAATTTTTGAAAATATTCAAAAAAAATATTATTAAAGAATCCACGTTTAGTCCTTAGAACATATATTAAAAAGGTCCTTCAAGAATATAAAAAAATCAGTTTGGAAAAATTATCTTAAAAATCCAAAAATCCTTGAAAGCCCGTTTCATATATATTTCACTTTTGCCGCTTTAAAATATTCTTAAAGATGCACGCGTGATTCTTGGAAAGTATCCTTGAAATGTCCTCGTTTGGTCCTAGAAAGCAAATTTGCCCTTAAAAATATTTTATTGAAATTCACATTTGGTCCTTGAAAAGAAAAAACATTTATCGGTCTTATGAGTCCCAGACTTCCCTCAAGAAAATGTTTTTAAAAATCCTGCCTTGTACTTCTTAAAAAAAATCACTTTTATCCTTGACAAAATAACAGTAAAAACAGTGTTTGTCCTCCATTAAAAAATCCACTTTTGTCCTTGCAAAATTTTCCCAAAAATCCACTTTCAATGCTTTGTAGGTCCTTTAAAAAAATATATTTTTAAATCCACTTAGAATATAATGAATTTTTTTTTTAAACTCTACAATTGATAATTCATAGGTTCTCGAAAAATATTAAAAAAAAATCTACGTTTATTGCTCTGCAGGTCCTTAAAATAATATTTTTAAATTTCCAAGTTTTATAGTCTGGAGTTACTTAGAGGATATACTGAAAATATCGACGTTTATTGCTCTTGTATGCCCTTCAAATATATTTTAAAAAAAAATTACGTTGATTGCTCTGTAGGTCCTTGAAAATTTATTCTAAAAGCAAGTCACGATAATTACTATGTAGTCCTTAACAAAATATTCTGCAAAATTTGGTGTAAATCTAATTGGAAGAATATTGATTTGAGGAAATTCTCAAAATATCCTTAAAAAATATGAAGAAAATAAACCCTATATCCTTTCTTTGAATGTGCTGAAACAATGATCCTAAAATTCCTTATAATTACACGTTTAGTACTCCTAAAGTCCTTGAGGAAATTAATTTAAACAATTCAAGCTATTTTCCCAATGATCCTTAGAAAATAACCTTTAAAATTTCCATTTTCAAAAAAAATATATTTTAAGTTCCAAATATAATAAATATATAAATATAATATTTATAACAATGTACTTCCATTAGAAAAAAAATCTTAAAATGGCCACCTTTGTTCTTTCGAATGTCCTTAAAACGAAATCTGAAGAGAGTTAATTTGAAAATCAATGTTTATTACTTCAAAGATCCTTTCAATAAAAACCCCTTTTAAAACCCTGGCCTATTGTTCCGTCCTTTTGAAATCATTAACGTTTTGCTCTGTAGGCCCTTGAAAAAAGTTGAAACTATCTTCATCCTTTATAAAAAATTCCCTAATCAAAAATATTGCCTATATTTGCTTCTATCCTCCTCATTGCAATATTTAGGGCTTCTTTGGTATATATATTTCGTATTTACACCAAATCCTCTGATTGTCTCTGGCCCCTCTTTCTCCCTCGCTATACCCTCCATTTAGCCACCAAAAAAAAAAAAAAAAAAAAACACACACACACACCTTTACAATTACACCAAAGCAATGGCATTCGGCCATAATACTACCGGTTTTGTTTTGCGTTAACCTACATAGCGTCATCGAACCAAAACCTGGGCTCAAAAGCCATTGCAAATGCTATTCCCTGTGGTAAGGACTCAAACACACACACACACACACGCACACACACACACACACACACATAAACGAAAATAAAGGATATGAAAACAAGTGTAACATCAGTGGCAACAAGACTACGAAACTTTGTTTTTTTCCAACTCTAACTTTGTGAGCTCTGTACGGAATAAATGAAAAAAATGTATATTTTAAATGAATTTCTCGCTCTCTCTCTCCGTTCTTGCACGCTTCACATAGCTAAGTGAAATTGTGGCAGCAGCAACAAAAAAAAAAAAAACCTGAAATTAAAATTTTGTTTTAAATCATATTAATTGTTGTTTTTTTTTCTTTCTTTTTTTGTTCTATTTGCAGGTATGTGGAATTCAATTTACCTTTAATACGAAATGAATTTAGTTTTCGTTTTTTGTGCGAACGACTTTTGGGCAAGTACAAAAAAAAAACTTATAACAAATTTTTATAATTAAATAATTATGAGCAAAACAAATAAAAAAAATTATATAAATAATTGCGGGAATTTTATGGTAAATTTAATTAACTAACTAAATTTTTTTAGAGAATTTTTTCATGAAAAAGAAACCTGGTATTAGTTCATGGTGGAATAATTAAGAGAACACCTGTTCAATTGTTTTGGACTCCTGAAAGTATGCAACAAATATTATTTTTAAACTGAAATTTCAAGAATTTAATGTAATGTATGTAGAATTGATATACAATATCAAAAATTGTTTATTGTGGAATATTTGCTTGGGTATAAATACGATTTATTTCATATCGCCTAAAAGTATGCCGCATTCATATTATATAACTTAAATTTATATCCGCCGGTGTATTTGGACATAATTTCCCATTACATACAATTTTATTAAGAAGGAATCGTTCTTCTTTTAAAAACAGCTACAGGGCTGTTTTGTCCCCTAGGACCAGGTTTTATTTTATTTTTTTTTTTTTTTTGAAATATTTCTTTTGTGCAAAAGAACCCAAGAGTTAGTAAATGCTGGAAGAATTGAGAAAACATCAATATAAAAATTCATTGAAAAATCTTTTTATTTTTTTACTCTGACCCAGGTAATCTCAGTGAAAAGGTAAATTATATTTTCTGCAATGACGAATAATTTATATCAGTTCTTTTTTTAACATAAATAATATTAAGAAATTCAACAAAAGCGTTGTATTTAGTTTTCCAGAAATACCTTCAAAAGCTCACGAGTAGAGCTCTTATTGTTCTCCAACAATAAAAACCTTGAGAAGTCTATGAATATAACCTGAATAGTCCTTTAACAATTCCTAAAAAAATTCTCGATTATAGCTTTAATCGTCTTTCAACAACTCCTCAAAAAAAAAAACCAAAATAAATAAATAAAAAAATAATTAAAATCAAAAAATTTCAATCGAAAAAATCCTTAAAAAATTGGCAAAAAACGTTATAGTTGTCTTTCAAGAATTTCGAATATAGAGTATTCCGCAAAAAAAAAAAACACCAGAAGACCTCTTCGAATAGAGCTCTGATCGCCCTTGGAAAATATTAAAAAAAAATCCGAAGATTTGTTTAAAAATATAATTATTCTCCAGGGGGACTATTGGCCAAATATTTATTTTTTTCGAACGACTTAAACAATACATCATATATTTATTTTAAAAGTTTAAATAAAAAATATTTGGTATTATAATTTGTGAAACAATTGCTACATTTTTAAGCGCCTAAAAGTATGCCTATATTTATACTATACATTTCTTAGATCATACCTTGAATTGGCAGTCTACCGAAACCGGTTTCCATTTACTGAATAGTCCAAACTGTAGCTTCCGTTCCTATGGTCGCCTAAAGCTATGCACCATTCCTTGAAATTTAAATGATACCTGAACTATTCAAACAAAACATTTTAGTTTTGTTTGAAAAATCCTCTCCAGAATTTTTGGCAGCTCTTCAAAGTGTAATCCAAGGTAATTCACTTTGATAATCCTTGATATACTTTAGAGACAAATTTCTGTAAATCCAATCAGTCCTTGCAGAAAAAGTCTTAAAACATCTTCTTCAAGAGATATGGAATAAGTTGGAAAAAAATTGTGGAGTTCCCAGTAGTCCCAAGCTGCCAGTGGGATAATTGGTAAAGAAACTGTTCACTTTATTTTAGAAGACTAAAAGTAGGCACCATTTTTAAAATGTATAAACCTTTTAAAACCTTTCCTTGATGGATTTTCTTAAGGAATTTAAGCAAAAACAATTTTTGTTTAACTAATAGTTAAAAAAGTATGGGCCCCTAAAAGAGTGCACCATAAATGCATATCTTTTCTCGAAATAATTTAAATTATATTCCTTGGTAATCTGTATTTTTAGCTGGTATATCCAGTTCTTGAGATAATCCTCAAATCAATCCTTGAAAACTTATTCTTAATAAAATCCAAGATTCTAATAGCAAAAAACCTGTATAGAATCTATAACTCATAGCTGTTTATATGGTCCCCTAAAATTATGCACCATATATGATTCTAATTAAATAAAGGAATTTTCCTTATGTTTCATTTTTAATATTCCCGATAGTCTCAAACTTTCGGAGGAATTTTGAAAATATGTCTGTTAAATTTATATTAATATGCATAAAATTATACCAAATTTTTAGTATATTTTTGTTTAGACATTAGATATTGGAGCATTTTATTAAGGAAGGCTTAAAACAAACCATTTTCGTATTTTTTTTGTTTTGATTTGCGATTCTAAATTAAAAAAAAAAATATTTTGCCCCTAAAAGTATACACCATTCACGGCAATTTACACATTATTTTAACTAAATCAATTGTTTTTCTCCTTCTTTTTAAAAAATTTCTCCATTCCATTTTCTGTCATTCATTTTAATTCAATTTACCACTCCTACATTATTAAACACTTCTCGTCCCTAACAGTGTGAACAATTTTTTAACATGTTTTGGAATATTTTTTATAAAAAGACAATTTTCCAATTTTAAACAGAAATTATATTTAGCCCCTAAAAGTATGCACCAGTCATTAACACATGTGGCTATTATTTCAACTAAATCAATTGTTTCTTACTTCTTCCATTCCATTTTCTGTCTTTCATTTTAATTCAATTTACCGCTTCTTCTAAATTATTAAACCCCCTCTTGCTCCTAATAGTATGCACCATTTTTTAACATGTTTTAGGATATTTAATTTAGGAAAATTAAAAAAAACAATTTTCGATTTCTAATATCACAGCATCTATTAATTTTAATCCAAAAATTATATGTGGTTCCTAAAAGTATGCACCATTGTTGGCAATTAACACAATATTTCATTTAAGTCAACTGTTTTTCTGCTTTTTTATTTAAAAAGAATTCCTCGGTTTGCAAAAGCACAGCATCTATTAATTTTAAATAAAAATTATATTTAGCCCCTGAAAGTATGCACCATTCATGCCTATTAACTTATTATTTCATCTAAATCAATTGCTGTTTTTTGTTTAAAAACAATTCCGCGGTTTTTAAAAGCACAGCATCTATTAATTAAAAAAAAATTACATTTAGCCCCCAAAAAGTATGCACCATTCATAGCTATTAACCAATTATTTCATTAAATCAATTGCTGTTTTTCTTTTTTTTTGTTTAAAAATAATTCCTCGGTTTTTGAAAACACAGCATCTATTAATTTTAAATAAAAATTATATTTAGCCCCTAAAAGTATGCACCATTCATGTCTATTAACCAATTATTTCAACTAAATCAATTGCTGTTTTTTTTTTGTTTTTGTTTAAAAACAATTCCTCGGTTTTTGAAAACACAGCATCTATTAATTTTAAATAAAAATTGTATTTAACGCCTAAAATTATGCACCATTGACGTCCATTAACCTATTATCTCATCAAAATCAATTGCTGTTTTTTTTTTTTTTTTTTTTTTTTTGTGTTTAAAAACAATTCCTCGGTTTTTGAAAACACAATATCTTTTAATTTTAAATAAAAATTATATTTAGCCCCTAAAAGTATGCACCATTCATATCTATTAACCTATTATTTCATCCAAATCAATTGTTTTTTCTCCTTTTTTTGCTCAAAAACAATTCCTCCATTCGATTTTCTGTCATTCATTTTAATTCAATTTACCACTCCTGCTAAATTATTAAACACTTCTAGCTATTTCAAGGAAATCCAATAATAGCAATCAAATCAGCTGACGTAATTTTTTGTCCGCTGTGTCCTCCTCTATTCGGCGCGATATGTAATGTGAAACCAAAAATACACTTTGTTGAATGTGATTCAATTGTTTTCCTTGTTGCTGCTGCTGCTACGCAATACTTCATTCTTGGGCTTCCGATTCTGTTTTCATTTGATTATAACGATAAAATAATAAAAAAAAAACCAACAACAACAACAGCAGCAACAACCTCTCAAACAAACAAATAAACAATAGAGTAATCGCAATAAATACCAAAGTAAGTAATTTAATATTGATTGACGACGATTGACAAGGTATGTTTTGCGCTGTCAAATCTGTTTTGCGATGTTTTCGTTTTTTTTTTTTCGATTTTTTTTTTGTTATTTATTTGTTTATTTTGTTCTTCGATATAAACGGTGAAAAGAAAGGAAATTTGATTCAGTGTACTTTTTTGTTGTTGTTGTACGTTCTTTCCTGGAGGAAACGATTTACTTGGTGGGGGGAGGAACACCAAGTACAATGTCAACAATGCCAAGACAATGCCTTGTCATATCAATGGATTTTGAGCTCCTTTGTTTACTTATTTATACCATTGTTTTGATACCGAACCGAATACGGAAAAAATCCTTCGATATCCTTATGCTCCCTCATTCATCCATAAATTCATAAAATATTAAAAAAGGCAAATCAAATCATTTGTTTTAAGCTTCGGAGGAATGGTTGAAAAACAAGGACCATACGGTGTGGAAATTCCTGGAATTAGTCGGAAGAATGAAGGAAGGCCAAGACGAAAAAATCTTCTCGATGTGTTTATTTCAAGTATGTGCCGATGTGTGTGTCGGCGTATGTTTAGAGGTGTCAATATCTCACAAGTCTCCAGTGAAACCCCCATCCTCCTTTTTGAGACTTTGCACTCACATGCAGGAACATTGTTTACAAGCGTTGTTTGCCACAAACAAGTTGGGGCCCTCTATGCCATCTTCCCTCCTCCCTCTCTCTCCCTCTCTTGCACATATGCTCCACTGGGCCCCCTCTTTTGTTATGGGCATCGCCAGATATTTCGCAAAACCATAATCGCTGGTATTGTGGCAAGTGTCAAGTTGTTATATTGACAAGTGTTGGCATCTTTTCATTTCGGTTTGTTTGTTTGTTTATTTTGTACGATTCGTGGTGTCTGTGTGTGTGTGTAATCCTTATATCAAGTGATCCTCTTTCGTTTTTGAGCAGGACTGACATTTAAGTGAGATAAACACATTTTAAAGAAATGATGAAAGATTTAGACCGCAATGCGAACAAAAAATTGAGAACAGTGGTGTGGAGAAGGAAGA